TTTTTTTTTTTTATCAGTGAATAATATAATTTATAAAATAGTATATACTATAAAGTATTGTATAACCAGTTTTTAGTTTAAGTTTAAAATGAAAATAGRTCGTACAATTTAATATATTATTAGGRTTCATATTTAGAGACCTCAAACCAACTTATAAATAAGTAAATTTTGTAGTTTTTTAAAATTCATGRATGGTATTTCAAAAAAGGTTTTTATTKTGTTGTAAGTTTGATCTTTAGATTTAATTAAATTTGTTTTACAGGTATAGTAATTAGCTTGTTATTTGTATAAGTTCGTAATTTTTAATACTCGTAACAGTTTGAATAATTCAACCGAGAGAAAAGTTTTAGATTTGCCTAGAATTATTTTTATTACATTTTTTGTGCAACTACTAAGTTTGGCATTAATTTAGTACTGTAACTACCTAATGTGAATATTCTGTAGGTATTGGATTTATGATTGTACCATGGGAAAGTAAATTATTTTAATAATATGTTTGTTGAGTATTTTTTTGCAGTCAGAATAAAATATATAAGKTTAACTTTTATGCGAGATTATTTATATAAGTATTCCATTTAAGATTTTTATCAATTAATAGTCTTAAGTATTCCACGTTTGAATATTTGAATAGATTTAAACACATATATGATTCTATATGTAAAATTTATGGCYATTTCATTATTTTTTCGGTTGCAGTTTTAAGTCATTTGAAAACGTAAAAAWWTTTTATTTGTTATAAAATTAATTCTTTATTTACTATTGAAAAATCAGTCATTTATTAGAGTATCTGATTCTGCTTTGCACTAAGTAGTATCAGAAATTATGATTGCAATATTTTCAGTATTGAAATATTGGAGTATTGGAGTATTTTTTACCATGTGCCTAATGCTGATATATACATGGTATAAAGAATATTTYCTGAGACCTGASGAACGTAATTTGTGGCACAAGCTATACAGGCAAGGGTTACAATTCACCCAAAACTGAAATTTTCTTTTTGCATAAGCTACATAAAAATAATTATATACAATTTCTTTCATGTCTCTGTTTCATGAAGAACATTATGAGAGTAACCCACCTACCACCAACATGTAAATTTTTTGGATAGTAATACGATTTTCATTTTTTCACCCRTCATATTTTGGAATTCTCAYTTTACTTATACGCCACACCATTCGAAAACAAAAGATTTACTGTCCTGTGGATTTCAGAGGTTATTTTTGAATGTTTCAACCGACATAAGAAATTRAAATTTTGGTACAGGTGTGACAAAAATAATTATTAACGCTTGGCAAGAGCCAAAGAATACCTATCCAAAATATTCCTAACTCTGTTATTATTTAGTGATAAACAACAAAGATACATTCAACAGCTTAAATATTTAATTTATGGTATTAAAAAATAAAAATATAAGCATCTTGAATCAATAAATATGCAACTCAATGTCTAAACTGTCAAACCTATGGCCACACYAGAGCACATTGCAACAATGACCTCAGACGCATGGCTGCATTGGAAAAACTATCTGCACCATAAGTTTTGACCTTCCTACAAAATATGCATGTAATGTCATAATAATAATCACCCCATCAAATTCATAGATGTAAAATTAAAAAAAAAATTTATAAACTCTCCAGTCTCCAACAACCACTTTTAAAGAAAATTAAAATTTAATATCAATAGTCTCATACTATCATTTAACAACACCTCATACTCAAATAATATAATTAATKGCCATACTCATATTTTGTAGACAACAAAATAAAACTGAACACAAACCATACTCGTGCTGAGTTGTGCATACTGCGTATTACACTGAATACCAGAACAAATGAGACAAACACATAGCACCTCAAATTACCTTCTTTTTAATCGAATTTAAAATTCTTACAAACTCGTACAMTCAACTTAATAATATTACTAAAAAATTTCAACTTTTATTCAAATAAATACTCCCTTATAAATACTAATAGATTAATCCTCTCCCCCCTCGAAAAAAAAACTAAGTACAACGCCCCTAATAAATGATTAAGCAATCATATTGCAAAATACAGAATTGCATACTCTAAATATACATTTTTATAAATTCGGTTGTATAAC